ATATATATGCGCTTTATCTCAACTTTTTGGAGTTCTCTCTCTCTATGTGTGTGTGATGAGAGAGAGAAGGGGGGAGAGGGGCGTGTTCATCTATAAATAAACCTCTCAAAGTTAAAAATAAAAATGGGGTTGTGGTGATGCTTTTACTAAATAAAAAGTTATCTTTCGGTAAAAAATTATTTTATAAATAATTATTTACCATGATTACATTTTAAAATTTCATAGAAGTACAATGAGTATTTTGATAGTAAATGCCTAAAAAGTAACCCTCTTTTGCAATAAAAACTTTATAAATTAACTAGGAAAAAGTTCACACAAAGTTGCAACCTTATACTATTGAAGTAAGGTGCACTTCAAAAATCCTACACCAAGGAGCTTTCGGCATTGGAGAACCCCCGATTGATCACCTTGACATTGAGATGCTTAGACACGAAGAAGAAAAAGAATTCTAAGCCCAAAAAATTGTGCATCTTTTAACAACTTATCAAAATTGTCTATTTTCAAGATTTTCTAGTGTTTATTGATGAACTCGATTTGTATAATTTTAAATTTTATATCTAGACATGAAAATACATTCTCAACTATTATAAATTTCCAGCACCGAAAACGACATCTCTAAACAAATTTTAGAGGCACGCCTTACTTCTACAATATAAGGAGGCAACCTTATACCAACCACACCCAATTAATTGTCTTTGTAAAAATATACAAGGAAAAGTTTGTTATGCACTACGGCCTACTACGGATATTTTTTGTGCCGCTATCTGGAAATTCAAAAAAAGATCTACACCGTCCAAATCGTCCAAATGAGAGATAGGCTGCCTAAAAACCAAGATTCTATGTTATCCCTTGCCGCGTGGTGGTTTGCAAAAGCCATTTGAAAATGAAAATGATGGCTTTATGCCGAGGGGTGTGTTCCTCCTCAACAACAAAATATAGATATTTTTGGAAAAATTTATCAAAATATATTTAATTTTTTAACAATTTAATGGTTCATCTTTTTTAAACTATTTCAACTCATGTTCATGTGTATTTTTTTTCAAAATTCATGGTCGTGTGTTATTTTGATGGGTATTTTGAAATTAAAAAAATTAAAGGTAAAATATTAAATGGCTGATCTTTTATATATATATATATATATATATATATATATATATTGATAAATTTCCCATTTGCTTTTGAATCTCACTTGACTATTTTCTTGATTGCACTTTGCACTACAAGCTAGCAAAGAATTTAATGGCTAATTGGGTGGGCTTATACAACAAATTTGTGCTTTATGCCAAAAAAAATAAGAAATTGTATACAATGAGACCATGTACCTTTGATATACTATTCCCAAGAATAATATACAAAAACATTTTAATGCCTAACCTCCCCCTTCTTTCCATTCCAATTGGGGCTTGACCATAACTTTCTCATGTGATTCTTGTGTAATACTGTATTTCAAATCTCAATGTACTAATGATTTGTATATTATATTTTCAATATACTACAATTCTATGAATTGTGATTTTAAATATGAAATTTTTCTCTTTCTAGTGAATAAATCAAAGACAACGTGCTTACGACGAGGATTCCTTTTAATGTAGAAAATAAGTAATAGCCTTGTGCTATCAGATAAAACTTCCTTGTCAATCTTGAATCTTTTAGTTTTAAAAATAAACATTGTTTTTGGAAATGGGGGTGGGGCACAGGTGACGAGGGGACGGATGCCTCGACGTGACGTCTTAACCTTTATTCGTACCATTAACATATCAAGAAAAAATAACAATATCTATTGTTTTATGAACAATAAAATAAGGTTATTATTATTTTGTGTGTGTGTGGTTTTCAATATTTTAATAAAAATAAAACAAAGTGTAAAGGATACGATATGTGGAGCCAACCTTGGGGATTGAAGATGCCTAGTAGCATATCATATATTTTTTGGAACATGTTCAACAACTGTATCATCCCAAACAATCCGTTAACTATTTGTTTTCAAATTAAAGTACTTAATTCTATCTATCTAAACAGTAAAACCTTCATTTCAAAAAATTTACGATCTTTGTTCATTTAATGCATGCCAAGATGCGCACCTGATCAGGAACAATAGATGATGTCTCGTACTTGATATCGACTTTTTGTAGCTAGAGAGATTCATTTAAGAAAGGACACGGTTTCTATTAGTTAATGTAGAAATGAGTCACCTCTTATAAATCTATTTTTGAGATGGATTTTTGGACTTAATTTTTAAGGACATGTAATCTCTAACATGAAATCATAAATATGAAAAAAATAAATAAATTTTGAAAATTAAAATAATAATTTTATTAAGAAAACATTTAGACCACTAGTTTCAATTGTTTTTAGATGGAGCACGTATTTGCATCCATCTTTAAGATGGATGCTTTATACGATAGATGCTTTATACCTCAGGACCGCATTGTAGAAATGAGATCTCCACCGCATGAAACAATTCTCCTTTAGGAACAGCATGATTTCATTCTAACATGGATAAAGAGGGGTGGCAATGGGTGAGCCCTACCTTATCCCAAGCCAGACCCATCTCGGCCTAGCCCTTAGGCCACATTTTGTGGCACGTGCCCTAATTTTTCACGCATGGGACGATTGGGCCGTGCCAGGCCACCCGGCCCATCATGACCCTTAATTTGGCTAGTTAAAAAATGAATTGACAGGGGAGGTAGAGATAGAGGGAGTAGATATGTGCACATGTGGTCTTAAAGAGAGAGAGATGAACCTTTTGAGTTGCAATTTGGAAGGAGTGGATGGTTAGTTGGCCAGTGATGTTGTTCAATCCACCAACATTGAAGTTAATGACATTCACCGCCTTCTTCTGCGTTACCCGTGAAAACAAACACTCTCTTAATCCAAACCGAACCCCAATAAATGGCACTATGTCAAAAGCGGAAACCCGTACACATCCATGCACACTAACTGACTAAACAGACTAGTATGTACCAGGGCTAACAACAGGGCCCGCCCTGTACCTCTTAAGGCGGTTCCTGTCAAAGGAAAACAACCTTGAGGCCCTGTTAAGGTAAAATTAACAAAAAAAAAACAAAAATAAAAAGATAAGGGCCAGGCTTAACGGATCTAAGCCTGGCCCATCTTAGCTTAGCTACCCGGCCCATTGCCACCCCTAGTCTATGCCCATATGGAATCCAAAAAACCTCAAGATATGTTTGAAAAGTTTATAGTGCTTGCTTTACATTTATGACAAAAAAGGTTGATACGGCTAGTTCTACTTGGGATATTCACCTCTCTAGAAAATTCGGTTTCTAAAAATAAACATCCCTTTAGAGAGAGAGAGAGAGAGTAAGGGTGGCAATGGACCCGGGGCCGCCGGATAAACCCTACACGAGTGGGATATGGGTCTAGCATTTGGACCTTGCGGGGGTGGGCCGGGTCTGGGTCTAAAATTTGGACCTAAACACTACATGGGTTTGAGTTCGGGTCTAGCTAGACTCGACCCGTACTTGTAAACTGTTAGAGATAAAATACTGTACTTTAAGCCTTATTCATTTGGATGTATTAAAGATCGTATATAATTAGAATCAGTAATCATTTTTAGCTATTAAATGACAAATCGCACGTCTTGAAATCTAATAGTGAGGGGCAAAAAAAAAGAAGAAAAAATTAAGTGTATAGTGAGGGTGACAATGGACCCGAGACCTGATGGGGTAGACCCGAGATCCGAAAGGTATGGGTATGAGTCTAATTTTTTGACCCGAGCCCGGATCCAAAACCTAGACCTGAATCTATTTGGGTTTGGGTCGGGTTTGGGTCCAAATTTTGGACCCGAAAGGTGAGGTCCAGGTCCAAAACCTGGACCCGAATCTATTCGAGTTTGGATCTAGGTCGAATCAGACCCGACCCATACCTGAACCGTTGCCACTCCTAAGATAGAGAGTAGAAAAGATAAATGGAGCAATGGGTTTAAGTTGCAATTAGAGAAAGAGAGAGTACATTTGCAGCATCGATGTTTTCGTAAATATCTCCAAGCGAAATGAGACCTCGAAGACCCAACTTGGTTCTCTTTGCCCCCAATATCGTAAGGCTTCTGTAAATAAGCTTCCAAGAGCCATCCACCTACAAATCCCCATTAATAAACCCAATAAAAGGGTTCAACAAAACTGCAAAACAAAATGGGGATGCGGTTCGTATAGAGCCAAGGCTCTAAACAATCAAAGTAAAACCCACCTTCAAATAGTGTCGAGAAATATGGTTTCAATATTGGAAATTTTTATAATTGCTTTAAAATATATTTTAATCTTTAATCATAAAATTTAAAGTTTTAAAAAAAGTGTAAATCGAGCAAATCTATGAAAACTTGAAAATTTTGAAAATTGATGGTCAAAAAATGTGTGCACTCTTTTCAAATTTTGAAATCTATTTTTTTCTCATGTCCATGCATTTTGATGTCGAGATAATCAATTAGACAATATTTGATTATCCATGCATTTTAATTTGATTATTTAGAGCCTCCGCTTTATATAGATTTTTTTCAAAAAAAAATATAAAGTAAAATAAGAATGTTAATTTTTTTAAAAAAAGCAGGAAAATAAAGATTTAGATAAAATGATGGATAAAGAAAAGAAAAATTCCAAATGAAGAGTTTAAGTTGAATGAGGAGTAGGGTTTTCAGATTCGAGCAGCTCCACCAGCTCTTCTATTTCTGACTTTTTTGCAGACGGTATGCCGAAAATGCCCCTCTTTAGATCTTTATTATCACTCTCATCAATAATTGTAGTTAGATATATGCATGGAATGTATGGCCTTCTACCGATTATTCTTTTTCTTTTGTTTTTTAATACCATTTTTTACTTTTTCCATAAAAAAATCTTACTGTATTTTGTATAGTGGTTTAGTTGATGCACTCTTGCTTTGCTATTACCACAAACAATGGTCCGGAATTTCATTAATAAGACATGACTAGAATTTCTACTCAAATCAATGATTTAAAACTCACCAGTCGGATTCATCGATTCAAATTGAGAATCGACTGGGATCAAATCGATTTTGGGAAGGTCCGGTACCAACCCATTCTACCCCTCAACCCCTTTTTTTTTAAGCTTATCTAATATTTTTTTAAATCCCCCCTAAATCCACCCATAATTGTGACCTCTTTGTAACAAAGATTAACGGTCTAATACAATTTTATTTAAGTGTGATTTATGTATGGACCTTAAAATTTTAGATAAAATACAAAATACTATGCTTATATGCGGAAATTACAAAGGAGGTCCGTCAGCCCATCTTTTTTTTATCTTTTTTAAAATTGCCCGATCAACTCGAATTTTGATTTTTCTTTTTAGTTTTCTTTTTTACCCCAAGCTTTAAAGCATTGCCTTATCAACGAAAAACTAAACAAAATTAAAAAGATAAATCAAAATTCGGGTCTACCGAGGGCAATTTTTTTTTTTTTTTTTTTAAAAAGGGTTCGCATACATAAATCACTATTTATTTAATATAAAACGTTTGTTCTATAACATTTTGTGCTACACTCTCTCCAGCTATCTTATTCAACCAAATGTAGAAAGTTTGTGAGGCAATTGCTCCTCTATCTATAAATAAAAATTATATCTAAAGCAACTTTTATTTATGGTAAGTCAAAATATTATATCTATAAATAAAAATTGCTTTTGAAAGTGGTGTCGAAGGATTAATCTCTCTCTAGAGAAAGAGGTCATCTATCTCTTGTAACAAAAACTTCTCTCTCCACAAGAAAAAATCACATTTTTGTGGTCTATACAAATCCAAAAGTTTTTCGGTGGGGATAATCTTTCTCTTTCTCTCTTTGAATCAAAATTTATTTGAAAAAGTTATTCCATAGCAATGAAACCTCACCTTGTAATGCCTGCTTCAATTTTTCCTTGGCCTCATCAACCCCCCCATAATGCCCAAAATCCTGCTTTTCAACTTTTCCTTCATCAATTATAGCAGAGCTTTTCTCTGAAGCTTTAATGGCAGAAAACCCAAATCCTACAGTGTATGTTGCAGGCCCCCTGATCCTGAAACGAGCGGCTAAGATTGGTTTGCACCCTCTGCCCCCAATTTTACCCAAAATGACATGACGAGCTCTAATTGGTTGAACTAGAAACTCAAACGCCATTAATAAATAACAGAGAGAGCTTTGAAGAAATCTCCAAATTCCAATAAAATGAAAAAGAAAAACAAAGACAGATGAGTTTTGCACGATTGGTTGTGAGCTCCCATCGTTTGCACGTATATGAAATGGGCATTAAATGGACGGCTCAGATGAAAGAAGGAGATGTGAGACCAGAATCCGGCCGTCAGACGTGTATGAGTATGTTGAGATGGTGAGGAGGTGATTTTGAGAGCAAAATGTTGAGGAGAGAAATGAAAGTGGGTTGGCTTACTCTGTGTTGTCTCAAAATTTTTTGAGCTCTTAGATATGTACATAAAGAGAGAAAGAGAGTTTTATACCAAAAAAAAAATTTTGAGTGTGGTTCCACCTAACCTGAATACAAAATTTTTGAGAAGGGGGGAGAGAGAGATGCTACCCGGTTTTTATGCGATCAGGCCCGTGATAGGTTTAGAGAAGATTGGGAGCTCAAGAACAGTCTAGAGAGAGAAACTATCTTGATCAATTCTTATTAACAAAGAATGAAGCCCTAAAAGAGTTTATATACAAATACGTATTTAGTATTGACCATATTATCCCTACACAAATATATAATGATAATAAAAGACAACTGAAAATTATACATTTTATTTTGTATACACATTATTACCTCTCTTCAAGCTGATGCGGACATGAGGAAAGCATTAGCTTGTTCACTAGAAAATCATGGCGGCTCCAAGTCACAGATTTGGTGAAAATATCAGTCGTTTGTACAGTAGAAGAAACATAAAGGAGATATAATGTACCATTAAGATAGCGATCACGAATATAATGACAATCTACGTTAATATGCTTTGTTCGCTCATAAAAACTGGATTAGATGCAATCTTAATTACACTTTGGTTATCTGCATATAAATGTATGGGATTTGAAATAGATATACTAAACTCATTGAGAAGAGCACGAACCCAAACAATCTCGCTTGCAACAGAGGGCATAGTACGATACTTAGCTTCAGTGCTTGACTTGGAAACAGTGTCATGTTTCTTGTTCTTCTATGATATTAATGATGACCCAAAAAACACACAATACCCTGTAGTAGAATGACAATTGTCTAGATCACCTGCTCAATATGCATCTGCATATGCACTGAGATCTAAAGAGGATGTGGAGTCAAAGAATAATCCACGAATGGAAATACCTCGAACCTAGTATAAAATTCGATGAACTATTGATAGATGTGGTCGTCAAGGATCTGAAACAAATTGGCTCACAACATGGACAACATATGCAATATCTGAGCGAGTCATAGTAAGATAGATGAGGGAGCCGACGAGCTCCATAGGTGTATCAACAACCTTCGCATCATTCAAGCGGGCACTAGAAATAAGATCAAGTTCATATTTTTGTTGATGGATGTAAATACCACGTTTAGAGCGAGAGATCTCAAGGCCAAGAAAATAAGATTCTTTCCCAAGATTCTTTATTTGAACTTCTTCTTGTAATCGTAGCTTCACATCCTTGATGGAAGTGAAATCATTGTCACAGATAAAAATATTATCAACATATAATAAAATAATGCAAATTCCATGCTGTGGTACAAATAAACATGGAGTGATCATGTTTACTTTGAGTGAAGCCAGTTGCAAGAATGACATCCCGAAAATGCTCAAACCATACACGGGGAGCTTGTTTGAGACTATAAATTGCTTTATGAAATCGACAAACCAATGACTTATCTTGATAAACAAACCCAGGTAATTAACGCATGTAAACTTTTTCTTGAAGTTTGCTATTAAAGAATGCATTTTTGCCATCCATCTGTCATATGAGCCACTCACGAATAGATGCGAGTGCAATAAAAGTACGAATAATTGTTATCTTAGCAACTGGAGCAAAAGTTTCTTCATAATCGATGCCATGCTCTTGGGCATAACCCTGAGCAACTAATCGAGTCTTGTACCAATCAAGAGTGTCATTAGCTCGTAACTTGACTTTATAAACCCATTTACTACCAATGACATGCTTTTCTGGGGGCAATGGAACCAAATCCCAACTGTGATTTGCCTCTCAGATCTCCTTGCTGAAGAAACTCGCTTAGGCTCTCTTGGGGTTTGCAAATCCACATCACAAGATGTTGCTGATGTGGCCTTAGCCACGTCTAATTTCCCTAACAAAGATACCAATTGTGTCCAAGTACAATATTACATATGCAAACAAAGAGACCACATGGCAGATCGATGCAAGAAACACATTTTTTGCAATTATTGTAAGAAGTTCGGATGTAATAAATGATTGTTGAAAACGCCCTAAGGCATGTGGGAAGCCTCTTGTAATCATCTAATGGTGGAGTGGGAGTACGATGAAGGATTGATGCTCTCATGCTTTCAAACTTCGATCGCAACCCCATAAGAAAGTAAAATAAACGAGACCGATTTCGTGTTTTAGTAACAGCTTCAGTGGGTGATTCTGTCTCCATCGAGTCCATCTCATTCCATACACCTGAAAAAGTATTACCTGAAAAAGTATTAAAATAATCTTGAATTGATGAGTTCCCTTGTTGTGTCTTCATGCTCTCCTATTCAAGGGTATACAGACGAGCAGTATTAGCTTGAGAATAAATCTTCTGTAAATAATCCCACATTGCTTTGACACTAGATTGATATATGAGGTTGTGCCCAATTTTGTACTCAACTGAGTTCATAATCCATGTCACAATAGAACTATCTATGAAAAACCAATCACTACGTTCATTTTCATCCATAGGCTGGGGAACAGAGCCATCAATATCGCCCCATAACTTCCATCCCATGAGAAAACATCTCATTTGGAAAGACCGCAAGCAGCAATTATTCCCATCAAGACGTACAGAAATAGTAGCACTCTCAGTATTATTCTTTGATTTCATGATAATAAAAGGTATGACTTACACTAAGTACATGGGGATGCAAGAGTATAGAAGAACTCAAAAACAAAGCTACTAGAGCACCAAAACAACTCCAACTCGATGGCGTAAATATCGGCCAAGATTTTGTTTTGGAATAAGTTTTTCCGAGCTTTGAATAGTGGATCAAAACCAATATTTTTAGTGAGCCGACAACTCTCCAAAAGTAGACGATGTATATCAAAAGAGAAACTTGAGGCCAAAAAGTGAGAACAATCTCGCACTCTCTCTCTATGAGACCATCAGGTATGAACAATGAACAATTAATATTTGCTGCGAAAGGAACATATCACAGATGGTGAAGTGTTGTAGAGAGAGAGAGAGAGAGAGAGAGAGAGAGAGAGAGAGAGAGCA